CGGGAGGGGGGAGAGGAGGGGCGGGGGGTGAGGCGCACACAAATGGATCCCATGGGGTAAAGCAACATTCTACTCAAATTTGCAACGAGGAAGGACCAAAAGTAATTTGTCTTCAAGGACAAAAGACTAGAACAGCTACCCTAACTCCCATGCCATAATAAAAAGCCTATATGTTTACGGCACCGAAAGAGACTCGTAGAAGCAAATTATGATATTGGAAATGGTTAGAAGTCCATCTAGAGTTTATGTAGGTTTATGAAGACCGAAATGTGCAGTTAGCAGTTCTAGATCTCAGTGACTAATCCATTAGAAAAAAGCATATCATGCACACAAGATATGTTAAAACGTCAAAAGTTTACAATCAACACTTACCTCATGCACCAGCACCTGCTTCATTGCTAAGGCAAGAACATAATGGCCAGACCTATAGCCCTGTTTACTTGTAACAAAATAGAATCAGACAAGACTGGTAACAATTGCAAACCACCCAAATAATATATTGTACAAGCGAACCACCCAAATAATATATGGTACAATGACTCAAACCTTGAAATTAACAAAGTCTGCAATGGGGGGATCAAAAGCTAGCCCCAAGGTATCTGAAGCTTCATTACTCCGGTCACTGGACAGAGGGTTTAATTTCACGTTCTTATATGTTATTGAATAAGTTATCATCTTGCTAACTAACTGATCCAGATCATTCTTCTCGTTTTCTGATAACAAGTTTAACGCCACCTGCAAACATACTATGTTTTATCAGACACATTACAATGAGCAAAAACAAAATTTAACATCACTTTAGGTAACAAGTAAATGTTGTGATCATATACACTAACAAGTAAGAATCAGTTCAAAGTAACAAGATAAAAGTGAAAAAGCACAAATTCCCACTTGGACAAAATACTACATGATCTGCCTTAAGTTTGTTGAAATAGTTTGAACAAAGAAGTAATAAATATGAGAAAAAAGATTGAAACGAACTGAGAGGGAAACAGAACTTTAGAAAAGGCATAACCTTAGTTAAAGTAACATACCGGCCGTAGAGTTGGTGGTGATAGAATGTGCAATAGTAATGAGACGGCTTCTTCTACGAAAGACTTAATTGATAAATGTCTTGAAATATAAGGTGGGATCGTGTAGTACCAAGACCTTAAAGTATCCATCTTTTCCGTCAACATTGTTCTGTATCTGCATTTTCATATATTCAAGTTTGTAAGTAAAAATCACTCTTCTGCATTTCACTACTAGTAGGGTATACCTCAAATAAGATTTTGGCCACTCAATATTTGGTCTCTGGACTTGGGCCACAGAGCGGTGTACAGTAATTGCGAGAGCTGGCTGGTAAGCTATATAAAAGAGAAGGGAAAAGAGTTGAGGAAAATTGAAATTGAAAAACATTTGGAGTATAATTGTCAAATAGAAAACATCTGAACAGTAGTAATAAACATTTTACCGAGAAGGTGCATCTGTTGCCTGCGTAAAGTATATTGGTGCAGAAGGTCAGAAATGCCGAGACAATTTAAGCATTTAACCTTCAAAAAACGTGGTAAGAAGTCAAACTTCTTTTATCCTTATCAAAGAGGCTGAATTCAATAAGTTCATATCAAGTCGCTTACAGTTTTTTGCATCACTGGATCATGATAAGGGAGCTGCAAAATATTCTCATGCACACCATCCATTATCAACTCATAATCACCACTGCGAACAACTTTACCAGTAAGCTAGATATGAAGTGCATAAAAAACGAAAAAGGAAAACAAAGAAAGAGATGTATATTTATATAATAGTTACTTGCTTGGCCACCTACCGGCTTGAAATGAGGGAATGCAAAGAGTCAAATTCATTGGACGTTGTCTGGCTGCTAATATTAGATCTACTTTTCTGTTTGTATTTTCTCTTTTGGAAAACCTAACGAGAGTATCAGCACCAAATGTAAGAAGATACAAATGGTCTTATTAGTAGTTCCAAACCATCTTAAAAAGATTCCACTTGGTACCTTACCCCTTTCCAGACATCGAAGACACTTTTTGACATATCCTTTCTTCCAATCACTTGAGAACTAACATCCAACTGCAATCCAACACATGAGGAAAAAAAAAATCAATCACCATTCAACGAGATAGGATTAAAAACAAAGGAATGCCTCTGATGTCCTTTGTGATAGTGCGATCCAAATTTACCATATTAAGATTTTCCTTCTTTTTATGGAGGAACTGAAGAGTGTTCAAGCATGAGCGTATGTCACATTCTGCAATACAAAGGCTGAAGTAAATAGAAGACGAATCAAAGTGACACAGATAAAGTTATAGAAGATATGCCATAACAAGCATCGACTTTGAGAATGGATGATTAAAAACTTTAGACAACACACATAAAGAATCTGTAAGGAAAAAACAAAAATTGAATATGATTGATGTTATGGGATGTCTTAGTCAAGGAACAATATGTTCACCTGTGTAATCAGCAAGTGCAGCGAGTGCAATGGAACTGGTTTTCATTGCTTCTTTGTTACATATGTATTTGAGCCTGTGATCAACAATTGAAAAAAATAATAAAATAAAAATCAGGATTATAAATCTAAAATGAGAAAGAAAAGAAAAGCAATATAATTATCGAAAAGGTAAGCAAAAAATGAAATGGTCCTCATTCTTGAGAAAGACTAAGGGCCCGTTCATTTCGCTGATTCGAGTTTAGAATTCGAGTTGAGATGTGACTTTATGTGAAAGCTTTTTACTGTAGCAAAAAAGTTAGATGTGATTGTTTGTGAGAGCTTTTTACTGTAGAAAAACTCAAATTCTAAACTTGAATCAGCGAAGTGAACGGGGCCTAAGTATATACGCAATTAAACAACAGCGCTGTAGTTAAGGATCACCTGCTCACTATACGACTCACTGTTGGTTGAGCAAACACATGAACCCTGTAAAGAAATAAGTACTTTCATCAAGCTAATAACATTAAACAATAAACACAAGAAAGAAAGTAGGTACTGGTGATAAAGTTATATATTCTTATAAGAAACAGGGAAACTTTAGTAAATGAACAAAAAAAAAAAAAAGAAAAGACACAATGTGAAAACGAGTCCTACTTCAAAGTCTTCTGTCAGAGTCATTAGCAAGCAGAGCTAGTATGTCAATAAAAACTTATCGAAGTTCAAAGGAGAATCCGAATGAAGCATTGTTCTCCAATATTGTATAATTCACACATATCTTGTATAATACACACATATCTTGGCGACTGACAATGAGAAAGACTTACCTTGCTACCTGCCGCAATGGTCTTAAGACAGGTGCATATAGGTCATTGCAAATGCAGATCACCTACAAGTCAACCAATTTATTATAATACCCAGGGGAAAAAAAGGGTTAAACTAAGCTACAGACAACCAATTTATTATAATACCCAGGGGAAAAAAGTGTTAAACTAAGCTAGAGATAACCACTGAAAACTCACAGGTCTTGACAGAGGTTTACTTTTACGCCCCTTCTTTGCAGATATCTTTTGTGGATTTTCTTCTTTAGCTGCATTCTCCTTCCCCGTATCAGACTTCTTATCATCAGATACCTTACATGAAAAATGTAGAAAGAGAATCAAATAATTACAATCATGAAGAAGCTAAAACCAAACTGATCTCAGTATATGAACTCGATTTTAGTTACATCTTCGTTCAAGTAAAAGAACCCAATACATTGTAGTTTTCCATAGTACTCAATTTCATGCTCCAAATACCTATGAGCTTTCGTAAGAAAGCCAAGACGCCTCGTCATATGATCGACGATGGTAACATGTGTACATAGATCTTATGACTAGATCTGAGACATGTCATAAATTCAAGATTGCAGCTCAAAAAACTAGCACTTGAAATAACAAAGAGTTTATACTCAAGTCCTAATTTGAGTTCCTGGTTTAAAAAACATAAGTATAAACCAATTAGTTTGCAACTTAATTTACTTATTTGGCTAAGACATAGAATGAGGGAATAGTGCTGCATCAATTAAAGGTTGATGTTCCTAGATTAGTTTCAACTACGTTTGTAATAGCAAGCATCATCAAAAGAAATCAGTGAATGTTCACACGCCAAACCAACAAGGAGGAACTGTTTCAGCCAAAAAAAAAAAAGGAGGAAAATAAGAGAGAATGATGATGATCACCACCATCACTGTCCTTGTCTCAAAAACAATTAGAATATATGAAGCAAATAACAATAAGAACAATCATTCAATAATGTACAGATTTATTCCTAGAAAAAGGAGAATATGAAAAAAAAAAAAAAACAATAACAACAACAACATTGCCCCCAGTACATTTCATAAACAATTGCATCGTCAAAAAATAGAATCACGCAAATTACCATCTTTAAAATAACCTCCACAGCACCTTTGCCATCACCAAGAGCTCCATCTATTTCATCAATCACCTACAGAAAGTTCAGTTATTTTCTCCTTTCTTTCACATACATACTACCACTAAAAGATTAACCCATAAAGTAAAACCAACCAGGCACTTGGGCCTTGAGTCTGAAGTGACAGAGTTCATCTGAACAACATCAAGGATTTTTGCTTCGATTGTTGATGCAGACCGATCATCACTAGCATTAATCTGCAAGGACAAATTACTCATTAAGAACATGAAAGCCTTTCAAGGTCCTAAAGACATAGACAACAGATACACACAAAACAAAAAAGGTAATTGTAATTGCGAGTGAGCATCAGCTATCCAAAGTGTATAACCAATATACGTATGTATGTATGTATGTATGTACGTACGTACGTACGTACACACACACATATATATATTCAAGTTTACTTCATGACATGATAAGTGATGTGAAATTCAAGTATAACTAACAAAGAAAAGGAAATGTTCAAAAACAAATTGCACGATTGAAATATTATATGGTAAATAGTGCCCATACTCAAGCGTCTAACGAACAGAATGAAAAAACATTTTTCTACTACTCATACTTATGTAACTCAAACAAGATACCTCTACCACACGGTATCCACAATGCCTCGCAGCAACATGTGCAAGTGTAGTCTTTCCAAGCCCTGGGGGACCACAGAGTAAAAGGATCTGCAAGGATTATAAATGTTTTGTGACTAATGTCTGACCAGAAAAGCTGACAGCAAGGGGTAAACTTTGCCGAGTACAAAAGCAGCGCTGAAGTGATTCTTGCACTCAAAACAGAACAGCAGCCATTTCTTTATAACATAAGAGTTTGTGAATAGTGAAATGCGACAGAGATCAGCATATATATTAGATATAGTGTAAAAATATCATGAACTGGATTTACTTGGACTTCATAATTTCAAATGCGTCCCAACTGGCCGACTTTTTTTTACTAGGAGGGGCTGCTTAGTTGAATAATTAGTAATGGCATCCCTACAATTCAGGTTCAAGGTCACCAAGCTTGCCTAATGAAGAGTATATAACTTAAAAGAATTCTTTGAAGGCAAATAAACAAAAATACATTCAACCAAATTGGTCTCAGTCCAAGTTGACAATTCCCTTTTTCCAGTTAAGCCGCAAGTTATCATTAGCAAATTGGAGATGCAAGACCCAAAGACTCTAACCTGTGAAAACATCCTAGGAAACCAGTAAATCATCCTTTAATACAGGAAAATCCAGCTAATTACCAACTTGAGCGCACAACTATGAGCAAGATCATACTTTAGAACTGAAATGCAATTGGTTATGAGCAATAACAAAAGGGAAGTCTACAACATATGGATTGACTGCAGCATAAATTAAGACAAGTATGCTTTTACAGTTTTTTTTTTTTTTTTTACATGTGCATTTACAGTATTAAGTTCAATTTACAACAATAAAAATTTAAAAGAAAAAAAGGACAAAAATGTGAAAAAGAAAAGTCAAACCTTTTGTTCTGGCGGACCAGTAGATCTTGACTTCTTGTTCCACAAATCCTGGATAACTTTTGAATTACTATTAATTTGATCAAAATCAGTAGATTTTTTCTCAAAATCGTTAGACAGTCTAAAATTTTCCTTATTCCATCCAGGTCCTCTGTTCTTCCACAGAAAATTAGAATTGGAAAATTTCTGATGTTGGCCCACAGATAAATGTCTTCTCAAAGCAGACAAAACCTCATTTGATGTACTCCTAATTTCAGAACCAAAAACACAAGAATCCCACTGTTTTAACCACAGGAGAACCTGCAGTAAGATAACTCCTATTAAGTCATTTGAACATGTGCCTTTCATAATTCACATTTAGACAAAGCAACAGAACATACCTCCCGATTTGTCTGTTCATCACTGAGGAGCTCAGTAAAAGAATTTGGAGCATATTTATCCACCCAAAGTTTTTCATGAACTACTGGTGTTTCAGAAAGGACTAAATCATTCTGGTCTCCGGAACTAGCTTGTAAGGCCTGCAGCATCAAAGGAATGATTTTAACACAATATGATAAAACACGTCATCATTAATAACAATAGCCTATAAAATCTCTACATTAAGCATTAGAGATCATAGGAGTAACCCACTTTTTATTACTAAAAATATAATTTCATCAACAAGAGAAACAGGAAGAAGACTTGAGCACTATGCGCAACTTTTAGCTAATATTCTATAGCTTATTAGGCATACTAAAGACCCAAAAAAAAAAAAACTGCTGAATAAAGCATCTCTCCAAATGGTCTCCATTGCCAAGGGCATTTGGTACTCAAAATTCGAAAACCCAAATGGACCGTTGTGATTCTATGATACATCAAATAAAGGTTGTGATCAAAATTATGTATGTGTCTTCAAGAATTATTAGAAGACATAACGCTGCAAGAGCACGAACTTATTTACTTACCAATACTACAAGAGGGATTGAATTTTCAGAATAGGTAAAAACAACTACTATAACAATTTGTACCTTAGTGAAAGCCTCTTGCTCAACTCTTTGCAACAGAACATTGATTGGTTCCTCTATAAGACCTGCAAGATAAACATAATCCAATATACACACCAATTGAAAGATACGTTATAAAATAACTCCAAAATATTAATCTTACAGATTGCTCAAATAAGTATACTAGAATTCTCGGTATGTATAAATTCTCCACATTTTCTAGGAACCCAAACAATGGACTAGAATACGACAGAAAAAGGGAAAATCAGCAAGCCTAACCTCCGGATTGCGTTCTCAAGCTCAATTTCTCGCGGCGCTCATTCATCTCCTCTATACTCATCTTCGCATAAACCCTATCGCCGCCGCTCGGAGCCGTCACGGGAATGAAATCGCCGTCAATGTCCGACGCAAATCTCCACAGGAGCGTCTCCTCCTTATCATCAACCGCCGGTTCCTTCATAACAGGATCTATCACCTTTGACGGCGAGTACCGAAGCCATTCCTCCTCTTCCTCGTCGTCGGCGATCCTGCTGCGCTTCTCGTCCGACGGCCTGGAACTATCGGGAACCGGCGCATCGGAGCCGTCCAACGACCGGGAGCGCTTGTGGCAGTGGATTAGGGTTCCGGGAGACGGTGAAGAGTCGTCGGCAGCGGGTGATTTGGCTTGGGTGGGTTCTTCTTCTTCGTCCTCGTAGGGGTAGGGTTCCGATGGCTCCAAATCTAGGTGCTCGAATTCTTGGTCGTGGATGATATAGCTCTCTTCGAGCAACTCGAGCTCTTCTGGAAGAGGAACGTCCACATCCATGTCCATGTCCATGGCTAGGTCAGAAGAAGAATCCCGAGAGAGACGAAGAGAGATCGGAAATGAGGGACTGATACGGTTTTTGGCGGGAAAATGAGAGCCGATAAAGCGGCAAACACACAAAGGCGGATTTAATTTTTTTTTTTCCGTGAGGGATTTTGGCTTTTGCTATGAGCGCATTGTCGTTTAGTGAAGGACGACGTGCAGTTTTTGTTTGTTTTTTTTTTAAGAGTTTTCATCTAATAAGTTGTAAGATGCCTAGTGTTTTTGAGCATTTGGTTATTTTAAGTTTTTAATTTCAGTTTTATTAGAGTTAAAAAATCTCATAAAAAATTATATTTAATTTTTTTTTTATAGTTAAAAGTTTTTACATAAAATCATATCTCAACTCAAATTGAAAATTAAAATTAACAAATTAAACGAGATTTTAGAGTTTTAAATTTAATTTTGCATAATTTTAAAAGGATTAGTCGGTATGTTAATATTAATTAGTTTAGGATTACTTAAATAACATTGGTTAGAATATTATTATTCTTATTACTATTATTTTATATTATTGTTATTATTAAAGTTTTACTCATTAATATTTATCAGTAAATACCTATAAAAAAAAGTGGGTTTTTTTAACGTGTAGTGGGACTGTTCCTAAATGCTTGTCGCTTGCATCAGTCTGAAGGATTATTTTGCCATCAGAATTCAAAAGGAATATGTAGAGAGGTTGCAGATTCTGCATGATTTCTTTAAAGTCTTTTGACCGTTACGATTTGTTCTTGTGACCAAAGATGAAAATATTAACATTTTTATTGATATTTTCACTGATATTTTTATATTTTGAAAGTACTCATATAGAAATAATGATATAGTATCTTTTTTGCATAATATATTGAAATTTTCACAAATATTTTCGTAAATATCGATATTTTTACAGAAAGTTTCATTCCCAAATAAAATATAGGCCTCGTTCATTTCATCGATTTGAGTTTTACTACAGTAAAAATCTCTTATAAATAGTCAAATCTAATTCTTTTACTACAGTAAAAAGCTCTTATATAAAGTCACATCTCAACTCAAATTAGCATACCAAACGGGCCCGTAGTGTTAAATGACTGAATAGCATAGAAATTTTACAGAGAATTTCTCAAAAATATCAATAAATTTCCACAGAAATTTTCGTAACTTTATATATATATATATATATAATTTTTTAGTTTACTTTCATAGAAAATCTAAAAAATATGGCATGTTTAAAACTATATAAGGAAATATTTAAACTTTATGTCTTTGTATTAATACTGTTTAAACTAAAAATGTGTTCAAAATACCTTCCAAGCTCCTCAAAGCTCCATTTGATATTGATAATTTACCATCATGTATGAAACCATATATATATGATATATATATATATATATATTATGTTGAGTTTCAGCTATTTTTTTTAATTTGTGAATGTGAGCTTAGTATTTATGGTTTTATGATCACACTTTACATTGTATATTTATTAAATAATTAGTATTTTGATTAAGAGTTTTATTTAATTAATATATTATTATCTATTTTAAAATTTTTAAAATCTCACTTAAAAATATAACACTTTAGTATGAATTTTTGTTTTTTTACATTAATTTCCACCAATATTAATATTTTTTATCAATATTTATGTAAAAATACTAAATAGTATTCAAGGAAAGAAAGAGAGCAATATAAAATAATAATCAATATTCGTGATCCATACATTATTATTGTATTAGACCCAAAGGAAATGTTCTTTCTCGAGCTAATTACAAGAATAGGGCTTTGTAGTATGAACAGAAAAAATGTAAAACTAGTTTTGAGTTATCATCCGATTCTTCTTTTTTTTTTCTTTTCATCCGAGAGAATATGTGAAATAACTGATTATTCAATTTAAAAAGTTCAAATTAAAGTAAAAAAAATAAAAGGCATTTTCGTTATAAGCTAAGATAACTCATCATTATAAAAATAAAATAAGTAAAAAAAAAAATGAATTCGGCGATACAATAAAAAAACTATCCAAATACGGATATTTTCCTAAATATCTATATTTTCATTATTGTTTGTGACCACACTGGTGGTCTTTTCCAACATCTGACTCAGAGGGCTGGGGTACTTTGAGAAAGATTTTGTACAAAGTCTCGGATAATTTAGGAGACATTTGGTTCATGGATTAAAATCATAAGATTAGAACCATTTTTAATTTACGTATATTTTTTTTGAGAAAAAATACTGTAACGAACTATGAATCATGATTCAAATCGGGGTACGAATTCTCCAACCAAACAACCCCTAACCATTCCCAGGAATTGTTGGATTTGGGTTTTTGTAAGATTTACATCTGGGAACTTGGGGAGTTCTTGGGCCATGTGTGGTTGAGCTTCATATTGCCATCGAACAATTTCATTCCTAAAATGTATCTTGGACCGGCCCACTAATATTTTACTTTCAGACATCATGATGCCATGGGTTTCAGTGATTTCAGCAAACTGGGCCAAGAGTTGGTCATGGGCTTCAACTGTTGGTGAGAACAAAAGGATGTCATCAATATGGACCAGGCCAGTATGTAGGATTGGGCCGTATATATTGGTCATAGCCTCTTAGAACTCAGAGGGAGTTGTTTTGAGCCCAAATGGCATAACCGTCCATTGGAAGTGTTGGGTTGGGATGCAAAAGGCTGTTTTGGGGTTTATCCTCGGGTCTGATCCCTAGTTGCCGAAATCCATATTTGCTTGGGAAAGACTGGTGAACAAAGAATTTCGGTCTGGCAATGGGAATTTATCGTAAGCTAGGAAATGGTTATGTGGTTGATAATTGATAATCCCTTCTTCTTGGTATAAATCTTTCCCCGGTAGCTTCGTGCCGACAACTTGGTGTATGATTGAGCATCCCGGAAAGCATTGTAACTTTACTGGCTTGCTTATGAGGTCTGTGCAAAAGACATGATTGTTGGCCAGTATTCAACTGGTAGGATGTGTTATCTTTAATCTCATTTTGTATCAATGACTCTTGAAACGTCTTAATCTATCAGTAATTGTTTGAGTTTTAATCCTTTTCATCAGTTGAGTATTAAAAAGATTATAGAATTTACACGTGGTGCTAGCAAAAAATAATATAATGCAAATATGTAATATAACACTTTGCTAATAAAATATCAGTCAAGTTTTGTTCTTTCTTATATACCAAATTGATGTAAAGCACTAAAATTGAAACAAACTAATGCATCAGGCTGAAGTTTGATTAGCTTTAAAATTCTGAGATTAACCCTTCTGATTGAGGAACTATTTGTAGAATTAATCTTAAACTAATACTACAGTAATTATTGTGGTTATTTTTTATATCTCAAAAAATTTAATCAGTTAAAGGGTAATTTTTTAATCATTTAGAAAACATTAGTCAAAATGCGCGCTCCGCACGCTTGATATTTTTTAAAATAATGGTTATATAAATTGTTGGAAGAAAAAAAAAAGCAACGAAAAAAGAAATAGTGAAAAAAGAAAAAAAAAAGCAAAATACTGTAAAAAATGAAAAAAAAGGTAAAAAAAAAAATGAAAACCTCAGAAAAAAAAAACTTGGCGAAATATTAAAAGTGAAAAAACCATGCGAAACATTTCATTTTGACTCACGCGCGGGATATTTCGCGCACCCTCTAAATGTGAAACAAATTCTTTTTAAGTAGACGTTAATAGATAAAAATGGCAACGCAATTTACTTAAGTGGGTAAGAGTTGGGAAACTACTTAGCAACATGTAAGAAGTAAAACGATATTTACAGGAGCAAATATGAGAAAAAATATATTTCAATGGTAGTTATAAAAAAAATTATAAAGATTACTTTTGATGTATATTATTTTTAAAAGTTATTAGAAAAATACTTAAATAGGGATATATTTGTAAGAAAAATAAATCAAAAAAGCATAAAAAAGTAAAATAAAGTGAATTTAAAATATTTAAAAATTTAGATGGAAAAGCAGTAAAAATAATAGAAAGAGAAACAAAATAAGAAAAAACTAAAAATACCACGGTAAAAAATATTATTTATCTCACTCTATTAAAAAATAAACAAGTGTCATTTAATTAATGAGAACAAAATAAAAGGTTACGATGATATAAAATGACACAAATAATAGAGTTTAGAAAAAAATAATGGTTAAACTTAAAATTTTTTCAAACAAAACAAATTTACAAATAAAAGATGGAGGGAGGAACAAAAGAGGAGAAAGGGGAAAAAAAGTATTGAAAGGTTTCAAACGTTTTGTTAATGTTGTGGCTCCCTTGGAAATTCTCCTTTTATAATGAGGAAAGGAAAAGCAGTAAAAAGAAAAGACAAATTAGAGAAACAAAATAAAAGGTCAAATTTGTAAATAAAAGAAGAAGGGAGGAACAAAAGAAGAGAAAGCACAAGAAAAAAAAAAAAAAAAAAAAAAAAAAAAAAAAAAAACATCGAAAAACGTTTCGTTATTGTTGTGGCTTCGTTGGAAAACGGATTCTCCTTTTATAAGGAGTAAAGGATTAGCTTAAAATTAAGGGTATTTTTTGAATTTTATCCGCAATGACAAGTTTATAAAAATGGAGTTGAAATACCACAATTTTTTGAAATATTTAAAACTAATAAAATTATACAATAATTATTTATGAGACGTTTAGTTTATGGATTCAGAATTATAATTTATGATTCTGATTTTTAAAATTTAAATTTTTTGTGAGAGAAAAACGTTGTATAGAACCAAAAATTATGATTCAGAACCAAAGACGAATCCTTAAAACAAACATCTCATTAGATAATATTAACTTGAGAGTTTTTTCAGTAGTCTGCCTATCCAGTCGTCTTAATTTTTAATCGTTAGATATAATCAAAATTATATAAGATTAAAAAAATATACATAACAAATTGATTTTAATACAGATTTGACGATTAAAAAATAAATGACTATTAGTAGTTTATTTTTATAAGGACTATCAAAGAAATTTTCTATTAATTTTTTGTAACATAAAAGTCCCTATTAATATTTACTGTTTGTAAAATTTAACGTCTCTTTCAAATAATTTATTTATTGAGACATTTTCTAATATGTTAATATTTTGATATGTTTAAGTCTCGTTTATTTCACTGATTCAAGTTTTTAGTTTTTAGTTTCTACAGTAAAAAGCTCTCAAAAAATATTACATCTAATTTTTTATGCTACAGTGAAAAACTCTAAAAAAATATCACATCTAAACTTAAATTAAAAACTTAAATCTATAAAAATGAACGAGTCATAAATTTTGTGTCTATAAATTTGTATTAGATCACTTAAAAATCAAAAGGACGCATAGGCTAAGGATATAAGATAATCTCTCATATTTATTATAATAAAACATTAATAAGTTAGCATGACTCGTGTCATCAACTAAACCGTATTTTAATCGAAAAAACTGTTGCGACAAACTCGAAAGATGCGTATACGCAAACATACAGCCAAAACTATTCACCTTTGCGAAACTCGGTCCCCTTCTGAATCTAGATCTGATTCCGTCCACGTGGGGAAATAGTTTACCTTCCAAGGCAAAATATCCTGGTCTACGATGTTTGGCCACGTGTGTTGACCGGAAACGATTCCAATGCTACCGGCTATTCCCGGTCAGCAGGTTGCCCAAAGTCCTCCTATCGATATTGCTTCCAGGTTCATCCCCCCAAAATAACTGCCATCTACCTACGAAGCACTCTTACCTTCTAATCATCGTCTTCTCCATATCGGCAAAAAATCATCGTCTTCTCCAAATCTCTCTCTGAAAAAAAAAAAGAGCCCTCTCGGTGCTTAATTTGGGAATCAGGGTTTCTGAAGCTTCTTCTACATTTTATGGAAACAAGTACTGCCCCTACCAATCGCTGCTCATCGCTCCGATTCTGTCACTGTAGCTTCTTCAGACGCTGTTGTCGCTGCTACTGTTGCTTCTACTCCTACCCGTAGTTTCGGATTCTCCGAGACTTTGGTTCTGATTTGAAGAATTTTTGTTTAATTTTTGTGGTTTTTCTTGAGTTTATGGATTTTTCAGATGCTCAGCCGGGTCTTTCACTCGGTTTCAGCTCGCATTTGTCGCCGGCTCCTATATCGCCCCCAAACTGGTCGGTGAGCGCCTCTGTTCCGCTTCAATTGCTCGAGAAGACGGATGAAAGCAAGGTTAGGGTTGAGAATGAAGACGATCAAGGGGAAGATGAGAAATTCAGCCTTCTAGGGCACCCTATGTGCCTGAAGAGGCCGAGAGAAGCGTCGCCGTTTTTCCCTACGAATCCTTCAAAGTGCACTGCGGTGGAATCGGGGCTTGAGGTGAGGCGAAAAGCGGTGCGTTCTTGGGGAAATGAGACGCTCCAGGTTGCGGACCCTGAGATTCACGAAATTATGGAGAAGGAGAGGCAGAGACAGTTCAAAGGAATTGAGTTGATAGCTTCAGAGAATTTCGTGTGTAAGGCTGTTATGGAAGCTCTCGGTAGCCATTTGACCAACAAGTACTCCGAGGGAATGCCCGGGGCGAGATTATACGCGGGTAATCAGCATATCGATCAACTTGAATTGCTCTGTTGTGAGCGTGCCTTGGCTGCCTTTGATCTTGATTCTGAGAAGTGGGGTGTGAATGTTCAGCCTTATTCTTGTACCTCTGCGAATTTCGCTGTGTACACTGGGCTTTTGCTCACCGGCGATCGGATTATGGGATTGGATTCACCATCTGGGGGCCACTTGAGTCACGGGTATTACACTCCAAGTGGGAAGAAAGTCTCGGCTGCGTCCATATTCTTTGGAAGTCTCCCTTATAAAGTTAATCCGCAGACGGGATATGTAGATTATGATAAGCTCGAGGAGAAAGCACTTGATTTTCGCCCGAAGATACTCATTTGTGGTGGGAGTTCATACCCGCGGGAGTGGGACTACGCAAGGTTCCGGCAAATTGCGGATAAATGTGGTGCAATCTTGATGTGTGACATGGCTCATATCAGCGGTCTAGTGGCAGCTAAGGTTCGTAAACTTGTGATTCTGAAAAAGTTATTTTTCAAATGGGCTCATATTGTTTAAAATATGCATGTTTTCCTACATTGGATATATATGATATGTGCTAAAATGGTTCCAATGCTATTTGAATTATTATTATCTTGAAGTAACATGATAGTTGAATTAGGTTGATTAACTAGATTAAGAGTTTACATTTGAATAATCTGATATTGCTTTTGATGTTCCCAATTTGAATCGTTAACAAACTGCTTCCGTTTCAAGTTTTTGTATTAGCATTGTTCTGCTGTAGGCAAAAGGATGGTCCAATATTCTTATTTTTTAAGTTGTAATGCTTAAGTTTCACAACATCTTTTATATGTTAAGTTATCCAAAAGTGCAACGAATTTCATACATAATGGTAAAGCTTGTATGAGCTCTTCAATCTGATCGTGCATCAATCAGATGCTATACTTTCTTTTGTGCTTTGGTTTGTGATTGTCTGCACATAAGTTTATTGGTTCTGATATAGAGTTAGATATTCTAACCATGTATGAAAGCCTCTTGGTCACTGTTAGATTTCAGATATTGATGATGCAAAAAACGAAAGCCTCATGTCTTTTGCTAACATTCTTGCTGTCATCTATTATAGGAATGTGCGAGTCCATTTGATTTCTGCGACGTTGTTACATCAACAACACACAAAAGTCTCCGGGGTCCTAGGGGAGGTATCATCTTTTATAGGAAAGGCACTAGGTCAAGAAAGCAAGGCTCGCTTCTGGGAGAGGGAAATAGCCATTTTGATGAAGAGAAGATAAACTTTGCTGTTTTTCCAGCATTACAAGGGGGTCCTCACAATAACCACATTGCTGCTCTTGCCATAGCCTTAAAACAAGTAGCCACTCCAGAATACAAAGCATACATTCAACAAGTGAGAAAAAATGCAAATGCTTTAGCATGTGCTTTGATGAGAAGAAAATGCAAATTGGTGACTGACGGTACTGACAATCACTTGTTGCTCTGGGATTTGACTGCTCTTGGATTAGCAGGTATAATCATTATATGTGTCTAGTTTTCACTCAAATGTTACTTTCTACTATTGTCATGGCTGCCTTTAATCATCAGAATTTAGAAATAGGAGACGTAACCATGTTGATTATAGATACATGAAACTCGTGACTTTCAATAGGTCTGAGGACTAACAATCATCAGAAATTCATAAAATCATAATGGAATCTTGCATATGGTGAGTTTGCATCCCTCTCGTGAACTGTTTAGCCATTTGCATACAGATGGATGAACGCACAAGTGCAATAGTTAATATTTTCTTGTCACTCTTCGTGTGCCATTTTTGTCTGGACACCATGCAGTTTTAGTGTTTCCAATTTTACTTTTTTGAATGCATTGAAAATATTTTATTTATATAGCCTGACTTTTATTTTGCAAAATGTGACTTGTTTTAGGCAAGAACTATGAGAAGGTCTGTGAGATGTGTCACATCACTCTGAATAAATGTGCTATATTTGGTGACACCAGTGCAATTTCTCCAGGCGGGGTGAGAATTGGTGAGTGATAATCTTATCTCTTTTATTGGGGGTCCAAAATATAAATTGCCTGCTTGGTTCGCGGTTTGAACCACAATTGAAATATTTTTGTTACAATGTTCTCTGTCACAAAACTTTAAGTTCATGTTCAACTTCAAACCTATGAACCAAATGGGTGAAAAGTGTTTGTAACATTCCTTTACCTGACGGCCTTTTCTCGTGAACAGGAACCATATTTCTCACACTTGTTTACTGATTTAAGTCCAGTTGATTCAGTTCCCTAATATGAATGTCAAGTGTTGGCTAATCATCTTTCATTTCATTCTATTCCAAAGAAATGTTCTTTTTTTTTTTTTTTTAAATGTTTCTTAGTTCTTAATTCTTGTTTTTAATGAAGGTACTCCTGCTATGACATCAAGAGGTTGCTTAGAGGCTGATTTTGAGAGAATTGCTGACTTTCTCATAAGAGCAGCTCAGATTACGTGTTCAGTGCAGAAGGAACATGGAAAAATGGCCAAGGATTTTGTCAAAGGGCTTCAGAACAATAGAGATATCATTGAGCTTCGAAATCGAGTTGAGGCATTTGCTACGCAATTTGCTATGCCAGGATTTGATATTTAAACACGAGGGGAAAGAGGTGTTTAACAAGGATCTGTGGTATCAGTATCTTGCTTCTATAGTTCTATGGCATACCATTGCTTGCATGGTAAGCTTTCCATTTTTCTTCGTTGATCTCTCTTTTCCAATTTACCTCTTGTAAATCATAGCAAAAAAAGAGTCTTTACTTGTTATTCTGAAAACACCTAAACTTTTTCAAGTATCAAACATATCAGACTGTCTCCCTGACTATTTGTTTGTTATCTTGTAAAAATTATATACGGAGTCATGTACAACTTCTTTATGAAGATGAAACCAAATTTGTTTCAAAGTTTAGTTGGTCTATAGCCCATACTGTTTGTCTGGATACATCTGTAATTGTAACACCTTGGCAGAACAAGAAAGGTAGTGTTTGGAAAGAGACTACGTCTGTTTCTTGTTTTTGTTTTGTTTTTTTTTTTTTGCTCTTGCGGTCTTTGCAAAGTTGTTTGTCTTGTTACATTTGTACTCTGTTAGATATATACAGCATTTTGTCTTCAAGTTTCTGTTTTGTTGCTGAGCATATGTCAAATTCTATGTGCGTTTAGAAACATCCTGCGTCTCTGTCATATTTGTCAATCTCAAATTTTTTATATTACAATCGCAGAATTGGAAATTGACTGAAACTCACACGTAGATATTATATTCTTCCTTCTTTTTTTTTAATTCTTTCTTTTCTAGAGGGTCAAAGAGCATTTTGTCTGGTTATGATTGTTTGTAAAACACGGTTTGCCGGTTCGAGAGTTTTTTTTTTTTCGTTGGATGAGTGCACTGATTAAGGACTAATTGTTTTTCTTTGCGAGTGCTAGCATTTTGCTGCATTTGTTTATTCCTCTATTTTGTCTTATAGTCTCTCTCTCCCCAATATTTTATTAAATTTGATTATGTTGGACGCTGGTATGGATACCTCCAAGGGAGGCAAAGCATGAATTTCCGGCGAGGGACAAAAAGCATGAGATACGGTTAGAAGTGAGAAAGTGACCCAAAATTTTCTGCTTTGTATTCTATTTCTCCAAGACCCAAAAAAGAGGAAAGAAATTGGCAACGACAAAAAATTACCAGAGAGAGAGAGAGAGAGAGGAAACATGTCAGGAAGAGGGTTGTGGTTAGAAGCTTTCATCATCAAAATCCATTGCTTTCAAAGTGAATCGAATCAGACAAAAGCTTCCTAAGAGCAAAAGAAGCTGCTTTTGAAATTAAAGCTAACCCAGGAATCTCACAGTGCCCTCCCTCCCTACAGTCCTAAGCATCGCTTTTCATCATTATTTCCCTACTTGAATGATTAGTATTTTACTATAACAACTAAAGAGTACATTTTTACGGAAAGCCATATAAAAAAAGAACAGAAAAAAGATAAATAGGAGGGAAATCTTTTCAAAGAGATATAGAAAAGCACAAAAAAGTAAAAAAGAATGACATGAATGAGCTTACATATAAGTGTCAATTTAAATTTAAAATTTAAGTTTTGTTAATTTTTTTTTAAAAATAATCACATTTAACTTTTGTATTACATTTAAAAAGTCTCATATAAAATTATATCTCAATTCAAATTAAAAATTTGAATCAACAAATTAAACGGTTAAATTATTATGATTTAGGTTTAAACAGTATATTTTTTCATGCAAAAAATAATAAATTTAAAAAATTCTGTCACAATGTTTATTCTCACATAATTTGAATTATGGTTTATTAGCAACCTTTTTAATCGTTAACCTTATAGTTCAAGTCGGATCAGAAGTTTTACGTTACCAGAAACTTTCCCTTCCATCACAGCAGTCATGAACTCCAAACTCTCTTTCTCTCTCTCTCTCAAATGTCAATCTTTACAACCCACAAAATGCTAAAACTATGTATCTATTTTTTGCTCCGAAAACTTTCCTTTCCTTTTTTCATTTTTTTTTCATTTTTTTACCTCCTAAGGAAAACCCCTACAAAGTTACAACTATCATAACTATAAAGAAAACAGTAGAAGGAAAAATAAAAATAAAAAAGGACAAAAAATAAAAAAATAAAAAGTAATAAAAGGTAAGAAGAGAGAAGAACGCGGAGAGAGAGAAGGGTTAAAGGTTGTACACAACCAACCAACCAACCAACCAACTCAACCCAACAACAACCGAACCCATATTTCTTCTTCTATCTAAAATATTTCTTCTCTTCTTCTCCTCTTTTTTTTTTTTTTTTTTTTTTCATTTTCTTTTTTACCATTTCTGCTAAACAAACGTGATGAGTTTTTTTTTTCGTTCTTTTTTTTCTTCCTCGTTTGGCCTATCTATGGCTGCAAAAGTCGAGAAGCTTCTTCCTACCTTCAACAATCTCGTCGAAGAAATCATCAAGCTGAGCAACGATATTTTCAGCTCCAGATCTCAACACCATGAAGCATCCTCTCAAATTCTCCACTCTCTCCCTTATCCCTCCCTCCGCCGCCTCCCAATCCGCCGCCGTTCCGCCGCCGGACGATCTCCTCTCGAGCTCTCCTCTCAGCTCTTCCATGGCGGCCTTGGACCTCCTGAACTCGTACAGCAAAATCCCCGGTCTCCCCCCGATCTGCCCGATCTCAGCCGCCACTCTCTGCTGCAATCTCCCCGTCGAGATCATGAACGCCGATCCGAAGAACAAGCATCCCTCGTATCCTCCCCTCAGAAAGCTCGATTCCGGCCAGCAATACACCAGCCCGTAGAGGAGAATCATCAGCAGAAGCGAGCTCACGTTCCTCATCGCGTACAGAACTCCTCTGAATCCGCTGAAGCCGTTCAGCTTCGACTCGATCGATACCTTCTCGTCGAACCTCAGCGACAGCGGCTGGATTCTCGTCTCCATTAACGCCCTGTTCTCCTCCTCCAATCCCAGCGCCTCTCTCCGGCAGCCGGAAATCGCTCTGATCACCTGTTTGTTTTCGATTCAAACGCGCGAAAATTTCAAAAACCTCAATTGCAATGCCAATTTCGACTGATTCATTTGATTTTGATTTTGATTTTGTATTTCGTTTTACCTGACGAGAAAGCTGAGGACTGAGATGGCGATGGCCGTCGAGAGAGGAAGTGAGGTTGAAGCCGGCGGAGTAGTAATTCTCCATTCCGGAGATTCCGGACTTGAGGACATGGCAGGCCTCCCAGAGCTTGGAGCTCTCGTCCATGTACTCGTCGAGCCACTTGTCGCCGACGGGAAGGTGGAGCTTCTGGACGAGGAGAGTCAATTGGGAGTGGAAGGATCGAAGGAGAGAGAGAGCTCTTTGGAGGAATTGGATTGACATGAAGTTGTTGGAGAGATAAACTCGCTCGAGATCATCGATTCCTCTGGTCAGAAACGAGTAGAAGCCATTGACGGAGTTTGTTGAAGAAGGATCCATTGTTTTGTTATGTTTGGTTTTTATGATCAGAATAAATATGATTAGAAAAGAAAAGAAAAGAATTAAGAGAGAGAGAGCGAGCGAGAGAGAGAGAGAGAGAGAGATTTGGAGAAGAAGAAGATGAGAGAGAGAGAGAGAGAAGAGGAGGGAGGGTCAAAAAGGTTTATAAGGAGGGGGGGTATTTAAATGGTGGGATTGGAGGAAGCATTAGAGGTGAGAAAGGAAAGGGAAAGAAAAGAAAAGAGAAAAGGGAAAAAGAAAAGAGAGAAATGGAATGGAAGAATGGAAAAAGAAGAATTAGAGGGGAGGGAATATCTTAGAAGCTCAGGTTTCTAAGGTTGAAAAGGATTGTTGGGAGCAATGATGGGTGTTTCCTGCGGAGGGGAAAGGATGATTGGTAATATGCCATTTTCATTGTTTAATGGGCAGAAAGGAAAGGAGGAAGGGGAAAAAGAAAATATAAATCTAATCCAATATATATACATCTGTTGTTGTTGTTGTTATAATAACATATTTTTGTAAAAATATAAATAAATAAATAGTGAGGGAAAACAAAAATATACAAAAGAGAGAGATTAGGATTTAGGAGTGGGTTAAGGGGAGAGCATGAATTTGTCATGAGCTCGCTTCCAATTTCTTGCTTTTTCTGAGTTTTTCTTTTTTTTTTTTTTTTTTTTTTTTATTTTATACAAACCACCTTAAAGTAATACCACTCATCAATTTTTATATGTACAATTGTACATGTACACACAATAACACAGAAGGGTGGGGTTAGAGAGAGAAAGAGGGAGGCAAATGGTAAGTTATTAAAAATTAGAGTTGGCAAATATTGGATGGGGGTATATAGAGGTTATTGGGGTTGCAAAATGCAAAGTGTTTGACTGGATTGACTGACTGGGATTCTGCTTCTATACTTCTAACAAGAAAAATTCTTCCATTCAAGAATTGAGTACAAATTTTGATTTGAGTGCTATCTTTGGCCTCATCTTTCCTCTTTTTCTTCCTCGAGCAACTGACTTTGCTCCTTTACTTCCCCTCTGTTCCATAGAAATTTGGTGGGTTTTGTTTGTTTGTTTTTCCTAGCTAAGATATTTATTTGTTTTGTTGATTTTTTCAAAAGAGGATCAGTTGGAATGATGAGGTTCCTTGTATATGTTGTCTTGTAACCTTCTACCATGCATAATCAGTCTTTTTAGGACACATTCATATTCTTTATTAGTTTTCTCCCACTTTTCTTTTTGGGACAAAATGGATTGTGCTTCTTCATGCTCTTTTAAGTACCTCACGTTGAATTGAATATGCACAAATATCTATTACTTTAATCCTGACCGTTCCTTCCGGACTCCACAGGACCCATCAAACGGCGGAGAAAGTAAATCTGGGTGGGAATGATCAACTGGGTCCCAATCTTTTGTTGCAGTCCACTAAATGGGTTCTCAATGATTAACCAGTTTTAGACATTAATCTAACCAGCAATTAAAATGTTTAATTGTTAGTGTATTCCTCTCCATTTTATATAATCTACTTCTTTATTTATGTGTGCCTTTCCTCTTGTTGTGGGGTGGGGGACCAGGAAATCTAATTTATATTGGGCTGTGTAACAATTTATTTAAGTTTAGTTTAGTTTAGTTTAAAGTCGGGTGCTCGTGGGTTTTTGGAGAATGGGACATCTTAAGAGTATGTTGGTCTTTTAAGATTTCATTGGGAAGCGAAGACTTGGAAGCAATATTTAAGGCATTGATATGGGCGCCCTTAATTTTGGTTTAGAATGCCATTCACCAAACTATATATAAGGGTATGTCTTGGTTTGAAATATAATCATTATTGCGTTTTACTCTATGGAATGGAATAACACTTCTGAAAATTCACTTATTCTTATGATTAATTGGACAAAAAGATAAAAATAATTATTCCTATGAAATTGCTGTTCAACTAAAAGTGCAAATAGTCATTTACTAAAAGTGCAAAATGAACTATTGAATGATCATTCCGTTTCAAAATCGATACTAATTATCTTTTCAAAAAAACTTTATATTAATTAAATTTTCTTTATCTAAGTTGCCACTTTCAATGTTTATTGTTTACTTTAAATATGCTTTTACCATTCTAAAATATAAAACATATTTAGTTGTATTAATCCTAGTGCAACTCGCTTATTAGATTTGAGACTATTGTCTAGGACGATATTAGTGCATATACATATATATTCTTTAATTTTATATAAGTTATGGTCATCTTTATTATTATGGATATGATCAAATATAATTAATTATCAGAGTGTTAGTTATAAAAAAAAAATTTATCACTCTGGAATATCTAGAGTAAAAAAGGTCATTTGGAACATATTTCAATTTAGCTTTAATATATTATTAAAGATTAAATGAAAGAATATTCTTACCAAACAGTTATTATTCCATTTTATTTTAATGATTAATCAAATAGATTTATTGCAATTTCAATCTCCAACCAAACTATTAATCTGTTCCTATTCTTATCCTATTATATTTTTATTTTTATTCACATTCTTATTTCATTCTATGAAATCAAACGTCATCTAAGTTGTTAAGATATCCTTCATATCATTCTCTCTTTAGTCTCCTTGTTTTTTTTTTTTTTTTCAATTTTCTTAATGGATTCAATTGGCCTGTGCGTATTTTCCAATTTTTTTCTTTTTTGTTGATGGCAATGAAATAAATATGCTTAGTTTTTCTCTTTTTTTTTTTTTCAAAGAAAAAGTAGTTAGATTTACTAATTTAGTAAAATAAATTTGGAAATTGAGTTTGAGATGATACAAGTAATCCAATACAAAAAAAAAAAAGAGAAAAGAGAGATAAGGTAGGTTTTTAACAAAAATAAATGAAGACAAGAAGAGAAAGCATACGTCAAAGACTCGATTGAACATTCATGAAGTAGTTCTATGGAGGCATGAGAATAGACGTAAATACTTACCAAGATGAGAACTCTAAAAGTTTCATTATTACATATGATTTTTGACTAACCATTTAAAAAAAAACTAATTCCTCAACAAAACTAAAATAAGCTTTTGATTTAATACAGCAAGGCAATAGTTCTTTTTTGGTGCCAATTGCTATTGTTGAACTATCAACCCGGTGAAATGGATCCATTGGTTACGCCTTATCCATACTCAGTCATATTCAAGTAGAAGGTCGGCAATGGTAACAGAACCAAATGCTTGTTTATATAAAGGAAAGATGAGTATAAAACAGAAGACATTTAAGAAAAATCAAAGTAAACTTGAGGTCTCAATCAAAAGCAAATGTCTGTCTATGTAATACCTCTTCAAAACATGCAATCCCTTTGGCTTTGAATGCAACATATGTACTAAAATTGACAAATAAATCAGCTGGGCAACTGTAGAATTCAACTCTTTGGAAATATGCATGAATTTGTTACTCAAGGACAAATTGTTTGGCAATTTCTTACATTTACCAAGCAAACAAAATGCACTTATGAGAATCAAAATATTGTCAAGCAAGATGTGGTAGCTTGGGATTTAGATTCTTGCAAGTGGGTGGGGGTTTGCTTTGGTTATTAAGGGCAAAATTGTTAAGATATTTCCACTTCAATTTGATTATATTTTTGAGGGAGCAGTAGCAATACAGCTTAAATTAGCTGGGAAAAGGTACTCTTCTAAGTTAATTGTATGGGCAATTTTATTTTTTTCAATAACTTAATATTTTTACCATGAATAAGGTGGATCAATATTATTTGTGGCCTCCCATAGGTGGGTCCATCAATTGGGTCAAAGTAAATGTAATGGATGGCTAGATTTTGTCTGGCAACATCCCTTTCATTCCCATCATGATAATTGCCCCAAAATAGTCTTCATGGAAGAATGTTTCATTTTCTTCTTAATGGCCTTAGATGGATACAACTGGATGGTCTCAAACCTCTCAATGGATGAAAGTGATATGAAGGAATGATTGTTTATAGAAATCATAAGTCCTTTGTAATTTCAGAAGAAAAAAATAAATGAATTAATTAATTAAAGAGAAAAAGAGAAAAAGGTAGCATTGAGCAAAAATGCATATATCCAATCAGTTTGAGCAAGTAAGGGGTGGAGAAGAGTGGGGTTTTTTTTAATTTTATTTTATTTTTTATTTTTTATATGCCTAGTCGTTGCTTATATCCCATATTAATTAGCAAATTCAATTGGGGCTTCTATTGGGACCACTTACACTTCTTTCCATTCTCTGCTAATGTAGAAGATAAAAGGGAATTCTTAAAAGCCTACTTTGTTCTGCAGAGATGAGAGATTTGCAAATCTCTTATGAAATGGATATGTGGGATGGTACCTTTACCTCAAGATTAGGATTAGGGTTCGAAAATGGAGTTAAATCTTTGACTGCGCTTCTAGACCATGTATTAAGTTTCTAGTTTAAAAGCCTCAATTTAAAACTGGGGTTAAGTGGGAACAAAAAGCTAAAGATTTAGCTTTGCATCCAAGCTATTTATTGTTATTTTTTTATTTTAAATGAAAAAAAAAAAAAAAAACTAATGATACTTGAAGCACAATTGATTGATTCCACTGAAAAAATGATCACTTTTCAAGACAAACCTATTGGAATTATAGCTAATATTTACTTAGGTTGTAAAGTACTTCAACCAAATATGATTAAGATTTGGAAATTTGTATTTCTAGCCAAACTGTTGCAAATCAAGTTGAGCATTTTTCCTTGAACCAAGAAAGAGGAAAATGTTGCGAGAGTAGAGTTGGACTAATTTTAATAACTCATGCAGCTGGTTTTCCGATTCAAAATTATATGCATGGTTTTAGGGTTAATCAGGTAAATAGTCCACGAGATTTACTTTTAATTCCATTTTAATTTTTAATTTTTAAAACGTCTCACAGTTGATCTATAATCATTATTCTATTTCAGTTGTATGATTCTCGATTAAGATCAACTACATAGGTTAAAACAAGATCTAAGGAAGTTTAATATGACGTGAATTGCAATAACTTGCTTTATTATATAAAAACACATTTTTATTACTTTAGTTCTAGAGAGTACTCTCACACACACATATATATTCACATATGTATCTATGATTTTTTTTTCTCTTTTAGACATAAGAACAATAGTGTTTTTTTTTGTCTCCACCTTACGTCGCTTTAAAATATACTAAATAATTTATACATGAAAGTGAAAAGAGAATCAATCCACGCTCTCGCTAACAATTTTAAAAGTCCATACCTAATAACTACATAAATACATAAATGAGTGTTCTTTTCACAGCTCAAATAACAACTCAAATTTTTGTATATAAGAAAAAACACTGTAATAAAAAAATTGTATTTAAAGTTTTTGAGAAAAAACACTGTAGTAAAAAAATTTGAGTCGTGATTTGAATCCAAACTTTTTTTATGAGAAAGAAAACATTGTAACAAAAAAGTTAATTTTTTAAAGAGAAAAGATTGT